GAGGGAGAGAGAGAGAGAGGAAGGGAGGGAGGAGGCAGACAGGCAAGCAAGCATTTTGGAAAATACAGAGCAGCAGGTCCCCTCTATGAGCATCTGGGCATCTGACCTATGGTCTGTAATGATTGGCTATTTGTGCCTTTGCGCTGTCTCCTCGCTCACTGGCAAGTTCCTGGAGGGTAGGGGGTGGTCCATCTTGCTTAACTTTGCCCCTGGCGTCTGGAACGGCTTATTAGAAGGTCCATGTGGGTGTCAGGAAGAAGGCAGAGGCCAATGGGTGCGCGAGTCGTGCGCTACACTTAGGACGCCTTGGGCGGGCCAGGACCTCGGTCTCGGAGCCCGGGTCGCCGCAGTTTTGCCCTTGGACAGCAGATGGCGCTGCAGGCCAGGTCCACGCAGCGCGCGGAAGTCCGGAACCCGGAAGCGCCGGCGCGCCACTGCCGGGACTGGCGGGCCCAGGTCTCCCGAGGCGTGGCAGGTTTCGGGAGGGCTGGTGGTCACCCCACTCTCTGCCGCCGCCTCCTCCCGCAGCCAGCGCTCCAGGGTCCTCTCCAGAAAGGGGCACGGAGGGGCTACCCCGCGGATGCCCACGTGACGGGCGTCCGAGCCCGCCCCGGGCTGTCCGGGGAGTGCAGGGAATATGGGCGTGCTCAGGCCCGGATTGTGCCCAGGCCTCACCGAGGAGATGGTCCAGCTTCTGAGGAGCCGCGGGATCAAGACAGGTGACCTCGCTGGCGCGTGCTAGGGAGCCTCCGCACAACCTGGGCTACCCGCCGGGGCACACCTGCCGGCGCTTCCCCACTTTCTGGAGGCTCTCAGCCCCCTGGGGAAGCTGGGGGTGCGGGAGCCAATTCCTGGCGTAGGGGGCGGGGGGACCCGTGCAGTGTCCTGAGGCTGTTTCCGCGCCGGCCACCTGCTGGGAGTCGACTGGAAGCCGGGTTGCAGAGGCGAGGAAAAACCAGCGTGGGGAGCCCAGGCTGCCCTTGCTGCCCGTCAGCTGCGTGTCCCCTTTTCAGTGGTGGACCTGGCCACAGCAGACCTGGAGGAGGTGGCCCAGAAGTGTGGCTTGTCTTACAAGGTGAGCTCGCAGCCTGCACGCCCCATACCTGCTTGTCTTCAGGTGGCCCTCCCTAAGCCACGGGAGCAGTGGGGTCCCAGAGGGATGCAGTAGACCCTGGGCTGCCTGCGAGACCCCTTGGGAACCTGAGTGTCGCCCCTCTGGCAGGCCCTGGTTGCCCTGAGGCGGGTGCTGCTGGCTCAGTTCTCCGCTTTCCCCTTCAATGGCGCGGACCTCTATGAGGAACTGAAGATCTCCACTGCCATCCTGTCCACCGGCATTGGAAGGTTTGTGTGTGTGCCTGGAGCAGACGGTGGGGGCAGGACTTGCCAGGGGTGGGTCCAGAGGGCAAAATGGGCCGTTGGGAAGGAAAGTCGTCAGGACTTCGGAGATCTTGTACCCTGGAACAGGGCTATTGATGCCTCGAGGTGGGGAATCATTTGTTGGGGGTGGGGCAGTCCAGCACCTTGGGGAATGTTCAGCAGTGCCCCTAGCCACTTCCCCTAGATGCCATGGGTACCTCCCTTGTCCCCCAGTGTGACGTTAAAAAATGTTTCCAGCATGGCTTGGTGTCCCCCTGGAGCCCAAATTGGCTCTGGCGGAGAGCCACAGCAGATTGGAGTCCTATCTGGCCCTAGCGTCCATGTCACTTGAGGAGGGCCAGGAGCACAGGGCAGGGCTCACGATTACTGAGAGTGTGTGCAAGCAGTAATCTCTCCAGGACACTAGCAGTTAGAGATGTTAGCCCCTCTTGCGTGTAGCCCAAGCAGGAGGGCAGGAGTGAAGCCTTCCTCCAGGGGTGTCTGATCTAGAACCGGTGCTTTCCCCCACTCTGTGGTGGTGAGGAACAAGCAGGCTCAATGGAAGGGGCCCTTACCTTGTGCCATAGTGTTTGGGTTAGGAAAGAGCAGGAAGACAACAGATGTTTTCTGGCCACGTGAGTCTGACCTCTTTCCTGGCATGTTTGTGCAGAGTTTGATGAATAACTGCCACAACAGAGGACTTTGCATTGGTCTGGCCCTTGCTGTTTCTGTAACATGTTCTCTTGGCAATGTTCATACAGCATGGTGCTTGCTCGTTGATGGTTGGGGTTCAAGTTTGTAATCCATCAAGCCCTGGCTGAATGCCTACTGGGTGCTCAGTGTGAGGTTTGTTCAGCAAGCTCCACTGAGTGCCTACTGGGCACCAGGCATGTGCAGATGATACATACAGGAGTGAGGCAAGGTCCCTGCTCTTAAGGAGTATGGCAGCCAGCAGATGTAGGAGGAGGAAGGTGGGTGAATCGACAGGCTGTCAGCACACAGAGAGGCGGTGGTGAGGAGTGGGTGATTAGCAGGAAGCAGATTGGCCTTTGGGTTTAGGGAGCCGATAAACCAATGTACGCATGCCAGGGATTTAGTTCAGTGGCACCGCGCCTGCCTCGCAAGTGCAAGGTCGTGAGTTCCATCCCTGGTACCAAAAAAAAACATACACAGAGGGATCAGTCAGCAGGTAAGCTGGCAGGGTGCAGGTGCAGGAGGCCCTGGAATAAGAAGGTGGGCCTTGGCATGGAGGGACAGATGAGTGTCACGGTCTGTCATATTATGGTTCTTCACAACCGTTGGTGAGTGAGCGCATTGCCATTAAAATCATCTTCCTGCAGATGAAGACATTGGGACCTTGGGTAGATGACTTGCCCAAGACCCTGCAGCTGGCTCAGCAGGCCGGCATATGAAGACTTAACTCTGCCTTGTCGACCGTGTTGGCTCCCCGCTCAGGTGGGAGGGAGGTCATTTTGAAGGCAGAGTCAGAGGCAGTGGGGCAGAGGCCAGACAGACATCTGGTGGTGCTGGTGTGGGGCCTGTGAGTCTGATCAAGGGCAGGTGAGAGTTGTGGGCATGTTAAAAACATGACAAGCCAGCCAGGGGTTGTGCCACATGCCTGTAATCCTAGCACTCTGGGAGGCTGAGCAGGAGGATCACAAATTTGAGCCCAGCCTGGGCAACTTGGAGACTTAGTGAGATCCTGTCACATAATAAAAAAGGGATGGGGATGTAGCTCAGCATGAAGGCCCTGGGTTCAATCCCCAGTACCATTTTTTTTAAAAAGAAAAGAAAAAGAAATATGATAAGCCATACTACCAGATGGGATGTAGATGTGAACACCGGAAGCTGCCTTACCTTCTAGACGTCCTAACAGCTTGCCATGGACATTCAGTACAGAGTCAAAAGTTTGAGAAAGGCCTGATAACCCAGATTTAACAGGCTTCTAGGGCCGGGGATTTAGCTCAGTGGTTCTGCCACCTGCCTCGAAAGCTCAAGGTCCTGAGTTCAATCCCCGGTACCGCCCCACACACAAAAAATAACAGGTTTTTTTATTGCAGGCCTTCTCAGAGCCTTCAGCACTTACACGGAGTGTGAATCTTTTCGAGCAGTAGAGCATGTGGCGTACCTTGGAAAATGCTATATCGGTGAGGGAGATTTGTTCCCTGAAGGCCGGAACTTTGCTCATCTCCACACACCCTTTTGGAATGAGGCCTTCAGGAAGTATGAGGCACTGAGCCAGTGTTTGGTTTTTTGGGGGTTTTTTTGTACCAGGGATCAAACTCAGGACCTTGCTCTTGCGAGGCAGGCGCGGTGCCACTGATCTAAATCCCTGGCAACTGAGCCAGTGTTTGAATGAATGACTGAAGGGCAGTTCCAAGGGCGAGATGGAGGACAAATCTCAGCAAGCACTTGTGTTTAGGAAGTTGTGGCAGGGGGTCCCTCCCATGTTGATGTGCTAAGTTAGAGGTGATGGACATATCTATGGTGGCAGGATCCTCTTGGCGGTAGGAGACATGCAGTGGAAACACAGGTGGGCAGTTGGCTGGGAACTGGGTCAGGGGGTCCCCTATGCTAACTGAGCCTCACAAACAAGGATGTGACTGATTCTTTTGTTTGTCTGATCCCCCTGTTCTGGGGATCAAACCTGGGTCCTTCACACTGAGCTACATCCCCAGCCCTTTTTATTTTTTATTTTGAGATAGGATCTCATTAAGTCACTAAATTATCTGGATTTGGAACTTGTGATCCTCCTGTCTCAGCCTCCCATAGTGCTGGAATTACAAGTATGTGCCACTGATTCTTTTGTCTTAGGTACAGTATTGGGAATTTGAACCCAGGGCTCCACACATGCTGGATAAGCTTTCTACCACTGAGCTTCATCCCTAGCTCTTTCTAATTATTTAGACAAGAGTCTTGCTTAAGTTGCTCAGATTGGCCTTGAGCCTGTGGTCGTTCTGCCTGCCTCAGCCTCCCTACTAACTGGGATAACTGGGATTGGCTGTTGTACTTAGCTTGTGGTTGATTTTTTTTTTTTGGTACCAGTACTGGGGATTGAACTTGGGACCTTGCGCTTTCGAGGCAGGTGCCGGAACCACTGAGCTAAATCCCTGGTTGATCCTTGTCTATAGTCAAGAGCCGGTGCTTCAACTCTGGCTGCACATTAGAAATCTCTGGGAAATTTGAAAAGAAATATTCATATTGGGTCTTCTACAAATTCTAACTGAACAGGTGTTGGTCACGGGTTCCCAACTTTATGTGCATGTTAGAATCACCTGGGAAACTTGAGCATTTCATGGAAATGGGGCACGGGTATTGGTGTTTTTTGAAGCTGCCAGGTGTCTTCGATATGCAGACAGTTTGGGAACTGCTGATATAGAAATATTTATTTATTTACTTGTTGTTGCTGTTGTTATTTGGGACAGGGTCTTGTTGTGTAGTTCAACATGGCCTTAACTCGATATATACCCCAGGCTGGCTTTAAACTCCTGGAGATCCTCCTGCCTCAGCTTCCTGAGTTCTGGGATTATACACATGCATTGCCACACCTGTCTGTAATGTAGGAACCTTTTAGCCAGGCGTGGTGGTGCATGCCTGTAATCCTAGTACTTGGGGGGCTGAGGCAGGAGGATCGCTGCAAGCTCAAAGCCAGCCTAGGCTACATAGTGAGTTCAAGGCCAGCCTGGGCTGCACGGTGAAAATCTGTCTCTTAGAAACCAAAATAGATAAATAAATAAATAAATAAAGGAACCTTTTAAAAAGCTCTTGGAAGACAGATGCAGTGGAGCACACCTGCCTGTAGTCCTGGCTACTAAGGAGGCTGAGGCAGAAGGATCATTTGAGTCTTTGAGGCTCGTTTGTCCAATAGCAAGACCCCATCTCAAAAACAAAAAACAAATAATCTACAACCTCCCCTGTCATATGCAGGTAGGACTGAGAATGACAGGTCTAATGGTTCTCAAACTGAAGTGTGTATCAGAGTCACCTGGAGTTCTTGCTGAAACAAGCTGTGGGCTCCACCCCTAGAATTTTTGATTCCGTAGGTCTGGGGCAGGAATGCCAAGAATTTGCCTTTCTAACCAGTCCCTGAGGCTCCTGGACTGGTACCACACTGGGAGAACCACAGTGCGACAACCACTGGGCCTTCCTAGATCTCAGTGGGAGGAAGGGGACCCAGCAGGGCAGAGGCTGGACACTCTTTATTAATTAAATAGGGGGAAGGGGAGTGCTACTATCCCCAGCAACCACAGCGCTGGAGTGGGAACCGGAGCCTCTGACTGGCAGGAAGCCGTGGCCCCTGTAACTGAAATGATTGGGGTGATTGTGCTGAGTACTGCTCACCATATGTGGCTGCATCGTAGGACCTGGAGTCTGTGGCTGGAGGAGCCTCCTGACCGAGATGTCTGGCATCTCTGGACAGGGCCAGTGTTGGGAAGGAAAGTGTTCCCTTTCTCCTCCTCTCTCTCCCCTCTAACCTGAGTTCTTCTCTTTTCCCTTCTGCCATCAGCCTGGATAAACTGCTGGATGCTGGTCTCTATACTGGAGAAGTGACTGAAATTGTAGGAGGCCCGGGTAGCGGCAAAACCCAGGTACATACGAGGCCAGCAGCCGGGAAGACTGGAGGTGTGGGTCCTGGGGTCCCTGGGGAGCTTCCAGCAGTCTGCTTGTAGGGTCAGGGGTCAGAAGGGACCAGGTGGGTGATGGGAAGTGGACTTGGCCTTGGCCTGTTTGTGCCCCTGGAATCTGAATGTGCTGGGGAGCGTGTATGCTAGGCCCTCCCCCTCCCGGTTTCAGGTCCACCCGATGGCCCATCTCTCCTCAGGTGTGTCTTTGTGTGGCTGCACATGTGGCCCACAGCCTGCAGCAGAATGTCCTGTACATTGACTCCAACGGAGGCCTGACGGCCTCACGCCTCCTCCAGCTGTTGCAGGCCAGAACCCAGGATGAGGAGGAGCAGGTAAGGGCTGGCTGAGTTCCTTTGAGATTCTCTCACCACAAGACCTCATCGTCCCTCACACTGCAGGAATTTGGGCCATTTGGTGAATAGTCATTTCTTGCTTTGAAACTTGGGGTCCTGTTGATGCTTCCTGCATGGCTCAAGCCTCCCCTGGGAATGCGATCCTCCCTGCTTGGATGCCACCTACACTGTCCTTCAGGGAAACCTTCCCAACTCCCTGCATACCCCAAACCATGCAGGCGTGTAGCCAGCATCTGCGTTTCTGGCCCATTTCCTGCTCACACCATACATCACTAATCAGTTGTATCTGTCTTTCCCACTCAGTTCTGAGGATTTTACAGATGAGCACGCAGGGACCTACCACTGTAAGCTCCACTCCATTAGACAAAACCCATTTGCCTTTCTTGACCTGAGTGCTTGGATCTAAGTGCCCCTTCTCCTTCTCAATCTTCCGATTCCTCTGCCGCTTACTCCCCCAACTTCTTACCCCAGGCCTCTGCTTGTCTTCCCACCCTCAGGCAGGAGCTCTCCAGAGGATCCAGGTTGCGCATGCTTTTGACATCTTCCGGATGCTGGACGAGCTGCAGGACCTCCGAGGCGCTGTGGCCCAGCAGGTCAGCCTGCTCCTCTGCCCCTCCCTGCTCCGCCCAGCTTGCCAGGTGCTGCCTGGGGCGGGCAGGTGTCCTACAGGGAGTCTGCCTGGGAATGCAGATGTGCGATCTGATGACTCCAGCTGTGCTTTCAACTCCCGAGGTGGAATTCCATAGTGCTTAGTCCTTTTGCTTTATTATTTACACGTTCGTCATCCCTGCTAAACAGTAAGCGAAGATCGTGATATATTTGTCTCCACATTCTTTGCTAAAGTCAGGCAGGGACACTTTCAGCTGCAAGTAATAGATGCTGTGGGCTGGAGCCTTGAGTGTTAGGAAATCTCCTTGTCACAAGAGTCCAGGGGAGGGCAAGTTCACGATATCGGCACACTAGGTTTTGTGCCTTATTCACTTGTTCTCTCCCTCATGATTGCAAAGTGACTGCTATCGCTCCAAGCATCTTGTCTTCACACATCCACATCTCTATTCAGACCAGTGAGGAGTAGGTGGCTGTTTTTGCTCCTCTTCCCTTTTTAATTTATTTTATTTCATAGTACCGGGAGTTGAATCCAGAGCCTTCCCTCTGAGCTACATCCCCAGCCCTTTATTTTTGAGGATCTTGCAAAGTTTCACAGGCTGGGCTTGAACTTGGAATCCTCCTGCCTCGGCCTCCCAGATTGCTGGGATTATATTTTGTGTCACTGTGCCAGGCTACCTCTTTCCTTTTATCCAAGAAGAAAATCCTTTCTCCTGGTCCTGGTAGTAGGCTTCTTCTCTTACATCTAGTTGGTCAGGGTTGGTTTTTGTTTTTTTGGGAGGTGTTCAAAATTGAGTTACATCTGTATCTTGGCTCAGCGGCTGGGCCTACCTTCTCAGAAGTCAGGAGATTCTGCCCAGGACCCAAACATATTCAGAGTCGTGTTAGCACAGAGTGGGGGGGGGGGGATTTGGTGATACTTAGATGGGATTTGATGCACTGATTTATAGACTATTAGATTGGGAAGGGACCTTAGAGAATGGGTTAGTTCATCTCAAACTTTTTCCTGCCTCTGCCTCCCTAATACTGGGATTACAGGTGAGCACCAGCATGCCCGGCAACCTTTGACATCATAATGGTCAGCAGCAGGACACAGCTCTCAACTGCTTGAGGGGAAGGGATTCTAAATGGCTTGAATTCCCAAAGTTGGAGATTGTGGTGGCCACAGAGGATGCCAGCTTCGTAATCAGAGCAGCAAAGGTCTCACTGTCCCATTTAGCTAGACAGGGGCATGAAGGGGTCTAAACCCATTTTGGCTGTAACTTCTCCCTTTTCTGCCATCCTCTCATAGACCAGCTGGTGACTGGCCAAGAGTCGGTAGTTAGAAGATGAGGGAGACATGTAAGACAGCAGATAATGCCAAATGGCTAAGACGTGGCCCGTGGTCAGTGTTTGTAGAAACAGAATCAGGATACAAGAAGGCACATGCCTTAATCCCAGCACTCTGGAGGCTGAGGCAGGAGGATTGCCATAAACTTGAGGCCAGCCAGGAATACATATCGAGACCTGGAGAAACTGGGAGCCTGCTAACATGTATTTAGAGACAAAGAACTGTTTTTGTTAGCATCCACGTTAGCTATGGCGAGGAGGCCCTGCCCGCCTGAGCTAGCAAACAGTAAAGACAGAGCTAACCTCTTCAGCAAAGGACGTTAGGAATTTGGGGTGAGCAAATTGGGGTGAGCAGGAGAAGGAGTGAGAGGAATTGAGGGAGTCAGAACAGGAGCTGGGTCTAACGAGATGGTGGGAAGCCGGACGGAAGAACCTAGAGATGGCGGTGTTTGCGCCGTCCTGTGAGTCACACCCTCTCTCCAGCCAAGTCTTCAGTGCATGTTACACATACAGGTGGGAGGAGGGGTGCTGCAATTCCGTGGTGCTTGCACGGCTGTGTTTGGAATGGGGAGGCTGTTTCTGACCAGCTTCTGACAGGAGCAAACCTGCCGGCAATGGGTGCATCCCCAGAGACCCCGGTCCACGGTACTTGCTCCCCCACCCCTCCAGGTGACTGGCTCTTCTGGGACCGTGAAGGTGGTGGTTGTGGACTCCGTCACTGCAGTGGTCTCCCCGCTTCTGGGAGGTCAGCAGAGGGAAGGTGAGCGATGTGGCCGAGCGTGTGGGCAGGGGACAGACTGGTCAGCAGCTTGGGAGTCTGGACTCCTGCCAGCCCTGTTCCTGGTCCTCTCTGTCCTCCTTGTCTGCTGCTCCTCCCCAGGTTTGGCTTTGATGATGCAGCTGGCCCGAGAGCTGAAGACCCTGGCCCGGGACCTCGGCATCGCAGTGCTGGTAAGGAAGCGGGCCTGGTCTGCCTACAGCTAGCTCTTTGTTCCCCTTAAATGGCGGCTCTGGACCTCAGAGTAGCCAGCCCTTTAGGAAAGGATGCAGCCTGGCTTCTCTGGGTCAGCTGGAGCTCTGACTGTGAGGGAGGGGATTGGATCATAAGTAGCCCAGGGGAATCAGGAACCCTTTTGTTTGTCTTTCTTTCCTTTCTTCTTTCACTTTCTTTCTTCTGTCTGTCTGTCTGTCTGTCTCTCTCTCTCTCTTCTCTCTCTAGTACTGGGATTGAACCAGGATCTTCACACTAAGTTATCTCCCCAGCCCCTTCATTTCTTATTTTTGGTTTTGAGACAGGATCTTGCTAAATTGCTCATGCTGGATTTGACCTTGGAATGTTCCTGCCTCAGCCTTTCAGAGTGCTGGGATTATAGGCATGCACCACCACACCTAGCTGTTTCTTCTTCTTCTTCTTCCTCTTCTTCCCCCTCCTCCTCCTCTTCCCCTCCCCCTCCTCCCTTCTTCCCTCTTCTCCCTTCTTCCTTTTGTTTCCTTTTTAAGTCAGAGTTACTGAGGTATAATTTACATAAAGCAATTTTCTCCTTATTTGAAGGTTAACTGTTGGCTATAGTTGTATCCAGTCTTGTTATACTACCAAAAGATCTCCTGGTCCCAGGCAACCACTGATCTGTTTTCAATAGTTTTGCCTTTCCCTGGGCTTCATATAAATGCGTCATTTTGTGTTTAAAGTAACCTTCCCTTGGGCCAGGGATTTAGCTCAGGGGTTCCGTTGCTTGCCTTGCAACCACAACGACCCGAGTTCGATCCCTGGTACCAAACAAAAACAATAAAGTAACCTTTCCTGCTTGTGAAGCAGTTTTTATTATGTGATGTTTTTGTCGTACTGGAGATTGAACCCAGGACCTCACACATGCCAGGCACACTTTACTGCAGAGCTTCGCCCCCCAGCCCGTGAAGCAGTTATTTAAAAGTCTGCATGCTTCTCATGGAAACAGTTAAAAAAAAAAAAAGTTAAATATAAGATTCAAACTTGGAGTCAATCTCCACATTCACAAAACCATATTAATGTTTTATCTCCATAAAATCTTTTTTTCTGCATATATAGTAATACTTTGAACCAGCTTTCTAACTAACTTCATAAAAAAACACAAAATTATCTCAGTCTATCTCCCATGTTCTTACAGAGATTCTGTGATTGTCATTTTTAGCAGCCATGTTTTATTTGTGTGTCTTGAGACTGTCTTGCTATGTTCCCCAGGCTAGCCTCAAGCCTTTGATCCTTTAGTAGCTACATATTTTTCCAGTTTTTTTACTGTGTAAAATATACATAGAATTTATTGTATTAAGCATTTTAAAGTGTACAGTTTAGTGGTATTAAATACATACAGTGTCTCTGTTATTGAATACTTGTCATCCCAGTAGTTGGGAGGCAATCAGAGGCAGGAAGATTGTAAATTTGAGCCCAACCCGGACAACCTAGCAAGACCCTGTCTCAAAATAAAAAAGGACTGGGGTGTAGCTCCGTGTGAATGCCCTGGGTTGAGTCCCTAGTACTGCAGTAATAAATATGTACATATATACATATAGTAGTATTAAATATTATCCATCGCTATAACTTTTTTTTTTGAGACAGGGTCTCACTATGTTGTTCAGGCTGGCTTTGAGCTCACTATGTAGCTCAGGCTGGCCTCGACCTTTCAGTGATCCTCCTGCCTCAGCCTCCCAAGTACTGGGATTACAGGTGTGCACCACCACGCCTGGCTGTCTTTAAACTTTTCATCCTGTAAAACTGAAACTCTGTGCCCATTAAAAATAACTTCTCCCTACTCCAAGCCTCTGACAACCACCATTCTACTTTCTGTCTCTATGCTTTTGACTCTTTAGGTGCCTCAGATAAGGAGAATTAAATGGCATTTGCCTGTTGTGACTGGCTTGTTTTGCTTAGCATACTCTCCTCAAGGTTCATCTGTGTGGTAGCATTTGTCAAAGTTCCCTTTTTTAAGGGTGAATAATGATTCTATTGTATGTTTGCTTAGCCATTCAGCTACTGATAGCCACTAAGGTTGCTTCTACCTTTAGGCCATCTCGACTAATTCTGCTACAGACATGAGTGTGCAGATACCGCTCTTATCCCTACTTTCACCCCTCCTGGGTACATGCCCACAAGTGGAATTGGTAGATAATACAGTATTTCAATCTTTAATTTTTTCAGTAGCTACCCTACTGTTTTCCACAGTGGCTGTAATAGCCACATATTACATGTTTAGTGCCTGTATCCCAGGGATCAGCAAACTTTTTCCATAGAAGGCCAGATAGTAAATATTGGAGGCTTTACAGCCACATGGTCTTTGTCACAACTACCCAGCTCTACCAGTGTGGCACAAAACCAGCCATGGATGAACATAAACAAATGGCCATGCTGTGTTCCAATAAAACTTGATTTATGTTCAGGTGTGGTGGTGCACACCTGTAACTCCAGATACTTGAGAGGCTGAGGCAGGAGGAATGCAAATTTGAGGCCAGAATGGGCTACATAGCAAGACCTTTTCTCATAATGAAGTGAAAAAGGGCTGGAGATGTAGCTCAGCACTCTGTGAGTTTAGTCCCCAGCACCAAAAAAACCCCAAAACAAATCAAAACAAAACTTTTTTTTTTTTTTTTTTGGTACTGGGGATTGAACTCGGGTCCTTGCACTTACGCAGCAGGCAGCGAAACCACTGAGCTAAATCCCCGGTCCAAAACAAAACTTTTGAGAGGCTGAGGCAGGAGGCTCGCTGTGAGTTGAGGCCAGCCTCTGCTACATAGTTCAAGGCTAGCCTAAACTGCATAACGAGATCCTGTCTCAAAAACAAAACAAAACGGGCTGGGGATTTAGCTCAGTGGTGCCACGCCTGCCTTGCAAGCTCGAGGTCCTGAGTTCGATCCCCAGTACCAGAAAAAAAAAATTGATTTACCAAAACAATTTTTGAGCCAGATTTAGCCTATGGACCACAATTTGCCCACCGTTGTTATACCATAATGATCTAACCAGTTCCTGATCATTGGACCTTTATAAATAAAACTACAGCAACCATCCTTATACTTAAATGCACATATCTCATATTATTTCTTCCTAAGTATGTAATTACTGGCTCAGGTATACATACGTTTTTGTTTTTTGGGATGGATGTCTCACTATGCGTCCCACACTGGCTTTAAACTCCGAGGTTCAACTGATGCTCTTGCCTCAGCCTCCTGAGTAGCTGGGACCACAGGTGCACGCTATCACATCCAGCTATGTGTACTTTTTTTTTTTTTTTTTGGTACCGGGGATCGAACTCAGGTCCTTGCGCTTGTGAGGCAGGCGGCAGAACTACTGAACTAAATCCCCAGCCCTACATGTACTTTTAAATGTCGAGATATTACATGGCTCCAATCTGAAGATGGTTATACAAGTTGTACACCCACTGGCCGTGTAAAGGAATCTGTTTCCCTGTTCTTTTGTTTGAATACAAGGTCCCAGGGACCCCGATGCAGCGGCCTGGGCACACACGGTCTCTGGATGCCTTCTGTTGGGCCGGGAGTATAATAGGTACAAGCCCACCACTACCTCCCCTTTAGGAAACTGCAAATAGGACACTTTTCCCTAGACAAGCACCGCATTGCCTTCTTTTGGGGGGCTGAGGCATTGAGGTTTAGTAGAAAGAGCTGGCTGCAGGTCAGGATCCCCAGATCTGGTTCCAGGCCTGCTGCTAAGTTATAGAGCCTTGGGGACGTCATTTCTCCAAACTATGCTTCCATTTCCCCATCTGTAAGATGAAGCCGCAGGAACAGACATCCTGTGTACTAGCATTACGCATCTGTAAGCCTCTCTGTAGGTGACCAACCACATGACCCGAGACAGGGACAGCGGGAGGCTCAAACCTGCACTTGGACGCTCTTGGAGCTTTGTGCCCAGCACCCGGGTTCTCCTGGACAGCCCTGAGGAAGCAGGAACATCAGGCAGAAGCCAGCGCATGGCTTGTCTAACCAAGTCACCCCGTCAGGTAAGCAGCCCCAGAGAGACACCAGGGATCTTGGGCCCTGGAAGGTAGGTTCTATGCCCCAGGTGTCATACTAGAGAATTCTTTGCCCAGGTGTAGTGGTACAGGCCTGTAATCCCAGCACTTGGGAGGCTGAGGCAGAAGGATCTCTGAGAGTTTGAGGCCAGCCTGGGCTACATAGTGAGTTCAAGGCCAGCCTGAACTACATAGTGAGACCCTGTCTCAAAAACAAACAAACAAAAAAGGGACTCTTTGATGCTGAAACCCTGCAACACAAGAGCACCTACTTGGGTTGCTTCCATCAACTTACCTCTCCCTCCTGTCTCTTCTTTCAGCCAACAGGGCTCCAGGAGGCGGTGGACATCAGCACCTGGGGGACTTCAGAGCAGAGCTCAGTATTACAGGGAGAGCAGACATGACTGGTGCTGTTGATTGGGAATGAGGGAGGCATGGAGCGATGGACTGCTATTCGCTGCCACCCAGCACGTGGGACTGCAGGAGTTCACAGGCGCCCAGAGGTCCCCTCACTGTGGAAGCACACTGAGCCACAGAATAGAGGCTGCCCAGAAGTCCAAGCTGGTGTCAAGTCCTTTCTTTCATGCCTACCATCTATGTTTCCAGGGGAAGCTGAATTCACCCTGGTGGGGGCATCTCAAAAGGCCACACTAGTGATGGATGCATGGCCCCAGGTGTCACCATTGGAGGCTGTGCTCAATCCTAGCACAGTGTTTAATCCAGGAAGCCACTATCCTGCCTTTGCTTCTCTCTCTCTCTCTTTCTCTCTGCCTGTTTTTGTTTTGGGAACTCCCTTTCCCTCAGCTCTATCTCTGAGTTACTAAGTGGAAAACCTCAAATAAATGTAAAACTCTTTATCCATGTTCTACTCTTAACAGAATATAAAAAGGAAACTCCTGGAGCCCCAGAGCCACCTGATTTCTCTCCCCAGATGGTTGTTTTTGTGATCCCCCAGTGAGCTCCCCTAAAGAATGATATTCCTTCTTTTTGGTTTGGTTTCACACACCTGTACATGTCATCACGATGAGGTGAGAATGTGGGCTTGAAGCTGTCCCAGGGATATAATTTAACAGGAAGGAAGGATATGACCTGCATCTAGTGAATCCAGCCACTTGTTTAATATGCTCGATGCCCTGTTAGGTCCCTTCCACAGTATAGAGTAACCAGAGGTGCCAAACTGTGGCCTTGCCCATAAATAGAGGAGAATTTGCACAATAAATAGAGTCAGCTGGGAAAATTGATGCTGGCGTAAATAATACATGGCAAATCTAGTCTCTTATGCAGAAATTCATTGCTGGTAGCTCTGAGATGCAATATAATTACATCTCTCTTCCTGCCAGCTGTACCACTGCCTTGTGCCTTAGTGTATAAAATAACCCCTGTCTGTTAGCAACACTGTGGCCATCCGTCTGAGAGTCATAACCCTGGCTGGGATGGGAGGATGACACTAGGGAATAGAAAATAAAAGGCAAAGTAAAGAAAAATGATTAGGGTTTGTTATGGCTTGTGTTTAGATGTCCCCCCAAAGCCTCATGCTTTTTTAGATGTGGCTGAATCTAGAGTATGTGATTGATTCATGGGGCTAGGGCTGAGGGCACTAGGATTAAGGGCATGAGTGCTACCTGCCCTAAGTAATCCGAATAAGATAAAAGGGGCAGAAAGATGCTGTTAAGACCTCTTGTTGCTTTTGCTGCTATGTGGGCACCATGCACTGTTTCTCCTCTGTGGTGCTCCACTGCCATGTGACACTCTGCCTTGGAACCAGCCGATTATGGACCTCTACAAACTGTGAGCTAAATAAACTCTTTCCCCCTTCAACTTTGTGTTGGGTATTTTGTCTCAGCAAGGACAAAAGGTTATTTACTGACCACTTTGTATTTTGTTTGGGGTTTTTTGTTTTTGTTTTTGCTTTGGCAGTACTGGGGATGGAACCTGGGTCTTCACATATGCTAGGCAAGCACTCTTCCACTGAGCTATATCCCCAGCCCAGGACCACATTTTTTAAAGGGAGATTTTCCTTGGTTCAACAGGCTATTGTACTGTCTTGGCTGAGGAAACAGGAGTCAGAGATATACTTAGAAGATGTGGCATCTGTAGTTAATGGATGCAGCAGAGATAGAAGGGGACATGGAGGATAGGGAATGAGTGGCGGACTGGCTCAAGGGTGTCAGAGTGCACACGGGGCTGGTGACTAAACCCTGGTACTTGTTTTCACAGTAGAAGACTCCGAGAAAAATCAGTCTTCAGTATTTACACCATGTGTAGCTGGCACATTCCTGCAAACATAGTAAGAAGCATTCTGTTGAGGTAGGGATGGTAAATTCCTGCCATACATGGTAACATGTGGGCACACTGAGTCCCAAGTAGACATCACTGATCAATCTTAGGATTTTTTCTTTCTTTTTGCAAAGCTCAGAGTATTTTGCGGTTTTTCTTAATGCAATACTCCAGGTAACCACTACCAGCAAGTTGGAGTTGGCATTCAAGGTGAACCCGGTTGTCCCTGCTACCCTAGGTTGATTTGTTTCCTGTATGCAGTGAGTCCAGGTACTTCATTCCTGAGCAAGGATCCTCCAGCAGTGCAGTTTCCAGGTGAGCTGGCCTATCTTGTCATTTAAGAGAGAACCTGAGGCTCAGAGGAAAAATGACACTCCCGTGGCAGAATGGAGGCTGGGACCTAGGACTCTTTGCTCATTTTGCTTTAATTTCCTATCAACCAGCTTTATTTCTGCTGAGACATGGACTTCAGCTAAAGGCACACAGTCCTCACTTAGTGGCTGCTCTGGGAAGGGGCATCATCCCTCCTACTCCCAACTACCACACAGCTTTCGTACAGGTCTCACTGACGGCTTGCTCTGTCCTTAGGACCTTTCTAGACCAGGGCTACTTCTCTCTGCAGGCTGCTGCTGTGTCCCCTTCTGGCCATGCTGCCCTGTGCAGTCCCCTAGGTGGGCACTCCTGCCCAAGAGCCCTTTTGCTCTCTTGGCTGATGTGTCTCACTGTCTACCTCCACTGTGTCTGGTGCATGCCCACTCTGACATCCTGCCTCTTTTTTTTTTTTTTTTTTGGTACCGGGGATCAAACTCAGGACCTTGTGCTTGTGAGGCAGGCAGCGGCACCACTGAGCTAAATCCCTGGTCCCATCCTGCCTTTTTTTAATGCCTCAACTGTGATGTAGATGGATGTTTATAACTCCTCTATACTTCTCATGTGTTGCCTATAAGCCCAAGGCCCACTCCAAGGGCTCCTGTGTCAATTTTTCTCTTATTCTTTCCATATTATGAGAGCTTATTAATGAGTGGGCTTTAATGCTTTTTTTTTTTTTTTAATGTACTGGGACTAGAATCAGGACCTTGCGCTTGCCAGGCAGGTGCAGCATCACTGAGCTGCATCCTCAAACCCTTTAATGCATTTAAAAGATGCCAAGGGAGAGGAATATAGGAAAGTTTTCCTCTTTAGATTGTCGTTAAGTTCCCAGAATCCCCCCCTTTTTTTTCATACTGGGAATTGAACTGGGTATCATCACACAGAGCTATATCCCTAGCCCTTTTTTAAACTTTTAATTTTGAGAAAGAATCTCACTAAGTCACTAAGTTGCCCAGGCTGAGCTTGAATTTGAGATCGTCCTGCCCTAGCCTCCCAGAGGGCTGGAATTACAGGTGTGTACCACCATGTCTGGCTCTACATCTTCCTACAGATTATTGTATGTACTTTTTGGGAAATTAAAGTTAATGTTAAGTCCCTAGTATGTGCTAACACTTGATGACCTGTAATCAGGCACTTGAGCTCTCAAGTATTGTCAGCCAAAAGTTCTATGTGTTAGCTGGGCATGATGGGACACACCTATAATCTTGGCACTTGGGAGGCTGAGGCAGGATAGCCTCATGTTCAAGGCCAGCCTGAACTACAGAGCAAGACCCTTCCTTGAAAACCAAAAAGATCCATGTTTTATTGAGGGTGTTTTGTATTCCAAGTAACAAAACCTGGCTTAAAGATGCATCAATAATAAGGACACCCTCATCTGTGAAGTCTTAGGTTAGTTAATTCAGTGGCTTACTGTCAAGTACTATGGGCTTTTCTGTTTCTGCTCTGTTCTCTTCTTGTGTTGGTTTTGTCCCCAAACTCATTGCCCTCATCAGAGCTCAGCCACAGCCACTTCAAGCGTCAATCCAGACATGCAAGACCTATAACCAGGAAAGGGATCACCTACCTACTTCTGTCCTGTGAAGAACAAGGAAAATGCAGAACTTCCTTCTCAAAGCTGACTTGCTATGGATCTCTCTGGTGCAGAATTGCTTCTGGCACCCAAGTTTAATTCAGTAACCAGCAAAGGAAATGGGATTGGCTCAGACCAGCCAAGAAAAAGCGCTGGAGCTAAGGCTAGGAGTACGTTTTCCTGAAGCACATGCTGTGGCCATACTGGAAAGGAGGGAGTGTGTGAAGGGATCAGATGTTGGGTAGTGTGCCGTGGCCTGGATGGGCTTGTTCATCTGGCTCGCTGGATATAAGGGATTTAGATGCAGATCCTACTAGATTTTTGCTGTGTTCTGGCAGGGAGTTGTCTGGGTAGAGTTTCAGCTATCCAGTTCTGCGTACTGGAGATGGGCACTGGAGGAGGCTCCGTGATACATGGAGTTGGGTGTGTTGGGTGTGTGTGTGTATAGTATTTTGACCTTTTTTTCTTTTTTTTTTTCCTTTGGTACCAGGGATCAAACTCAGGACTTTGCACTTAGGAGGCAGGTGTGGCACCACTGAGCTAAATCCCCAGCCCCAAAATTCTTTTTTTTTTTGTACCGGGGATTGAACTCAGGACCTTGTGCTTGCCAGGCAGGCTCTGTGCTCCTCAGCTAAATCCCCAGCCCAAAGTCAAAAGTTACCCTGATGGGTGGGGGCGAAGGTCAGTGGTAGGGTGTTTGCCTACCATGCCTGAGGCCAAGGGTTCAATCATCAGCACCACAGGAAAAGAAAAGAGAAGAGAAAGTAAAGTTACCCTGATTGCTTTTCCTCATTTTCTCTTGTCCAACTGCACAGGTTAGACTTAACTTCAGGACTATATCAAGGAGAAGCAACAATAGCTACCATCTTGGTCTTGTTCCTGATATCAGTAGGCTGCTTTACCTTAGGTTCTGTGTAGTTACCTTTTATCAAAGTAAAGACTTCATGACTGTCAGAAATCCAGTCAGTCTTGGAGTGGTTCTGGGAATTGGCCATTGTGTTTGCCAAGCAGAGTTCTCTCTACCAGCCATGGCAGCTCCACAAGCCCTCAAGCTGCACAGCTGTGCTTCAGCATCTGTACACATCAGCTCCTTGAGTAGCTCCCAGCCCTGTTCTTCTTAGGCGTCTCCCTAACTTCTAGGCATCGTAGTCTCAGGAGTTTATGTTTGTGTTTTGGTAGTAGACAACAGGCCTATGCTGAAAAGGATACAAAGTCAAGAAGCAGGATTTTCTTTTGTTAGTACTGGAGATTGAACCCAGGAATGCTCTGCCACTGAGCCACATCCCAGCTCTTTTTATTTTTTTATTTATAGACAGGCACTCACTAAGTTGCCCAGGCTGGCCTTGAACTTATCCTCCTGGCTCAGCCTCCTGAGTAGCTAGGATTAGGGGTGTACACTACCATACCCAGCCAGGAACAGCATTTTAAGTATCTCAGTTAACTTGGTTTTCGCTAATATTTACTTGCTTTAGACATTAAATGATGAAGCCTGAGTTTCATCCACTATGAAATGGGAAAATAATATATGCTTCATAGACTTGTTTTTCAGGGTCACAGAGCTTATATAAGGCACCAAATGCCTTTCCAGGCATGCAGTAAGCACTCCAACTCATATCGGTGAGAGGGTTCTGATGCCTGGGAGATACTGGTGAGAGCCTTTTGATAAGCTAGGGCCAGCTTCATGGTACCATGACCGGTGCAGTCACACAAGGCCCTTTGCTTAGAAGCACCCTGTATTTAGTTTAATGCTATGACCTTGGCATCTTAAAACTATGCATATTGGACCAAGAGTCCCAAATTTTGCACTGTGCTCACAAACTATGTAGCCACCATTCTTGTCTTCAGGAACGGGTCAAGTTCTTGTTCTGGCCCTTGTTTTTTGGAACCCCCCCCACCCTGATTTCTTAGGGAGTCATTTCCTTGGAATGAATATATAACTTATCCATAGATAAATTAGGGTTAGCATCCTGTGTATCCTTATCTCTATGTGTCCCATTCTGGGGTAACCTATACAGCTTCTCTGAGAAAGGAACACTTTATATTTTACACAATGTATTAGATCCTGAGATGTTAGGGGAGCTGGTGAAATGGAATGATGATTTGGGATTTTAGAATCAGAAAGAGATATAGGTCCAAAGCCCTGTTGAGGGCTTTTTGGCTGACTTCTTTGGATAAGATAATGTATCTGTCTCACTGGTAAAATCTATGTTGCAGGGGAATTACATTTTCTTTATTGGTGAG